TTTAAACGTGTTTATTTTGTATTGTCTATATTTGACACTAATTCAACTTATTTATTATTCGTGTTAATGAGTCGTGTCATATATGAGTTCGTGTCGAGAAATTATCCGCTAATTTCAGGTTGATTTTGAGTAGTATTTTTGTATTATAAGAGAAATTATCACCCTTACCTATACCAGTCAAAAAAATGTCATTTGGTTTTTGAGTACATAACAACATAAAGGACCAATCTATTGGATTTATGGCAAAGCGATCGAGGATTATATTGATCTTAAAAAAACATTTCATTAATTCAAATATTAGAAAAAATTAAGACTTCACTATCCAAATAATGGATCATAAAAATAAAGAAAATTTTCATCCACATCCCTGTAGTTAGGTCTAAATTCAATGACACTCCTCGATTCTAAAATTTCAGTGGTAATGTGTGAAGAGTGGTCGGATAACATTATAGAGGACAGAACATAGTAGAAAAGTTGGAAATTGATGGGATTTTAACATTGAATTTATCGATTATAATTTTTATTGTAGATAAATTTTTTTTAACTATGAAAATTATAAAAACTTGATTATATAATCAAATGAGTGATAATATTATGAATAATATTATAACAAAGTTATCACACAATGTTTTAAAATGATAAAAATTCATGGGGATCAATTGAAAAGACTATAATTAATCTTATTTTTTGGCAAAATGTTAAAACTAATTATTTTTATTTTATTTTATTTTTTGTTTATATGCATTTTTGACCTTATTATGTTGAATGATTTTATTTTGTGTCAAAAATAATTTCAATAGATATAAACATATTAGAAAAAAGAATAGTAGTAAAGAAAAGTAGTATAGGTATTTTAGGAAAAAGAATTGCATAACATTAGCATTTTCGATTTGTCAATAGCAGAGATTCACGGTAAGGGGTGTGATTGAAGTGAACATATGAACTAGAAAGGCGTGCAGTAAAATTTAAGAATTGGGAGGAGATGTCATTGAATTTAGACCTAACTACAAAAGGGTGTGGATAAAATTTTTCTTAAAAATAATACAACCAATGATATATCTTCAAATTGTTTTGCCTAGCTAGTGAGCCACGAACAAATGAAATACGTCTTAAGAAACTCCAGCAAAAATTTACAGTTGGGACTTTTTCCCCCAAAGAAGGGACATGGGCTTACAAATCAGAATATGCTTCGTAAGTTTGCTAAATCTACACAGAACTTTCCGTGTTGAAGTCATAACAAAATACACCTCACTGTGCCGGACCTAATTAATAATGGATGAACATATAAGATCAATGTTACAAGTTACGAACTTAACNAATCTACACAGACCTTTCCGTGTTGAAGTCATAACAAAATACACCTCACTGTGCCGGACCTAAATAATAAATGGATGAACTTATAAGATCAATGTTACAAGTTACGAACTTAACTCGACACAAATATACGTGAGTTGTATGGGTGTTGAGTTAATTTTAGGGTGACACGATTTAAATATCATATAAATCTTTTGTGACATAACACATTACCAAACCTTTTTACCTATTATCATTTTGGCTGGTGGTTTTCATTTGGCAACGAATAAGAACCATCGATTAATTATATGCACTTTCTTAATGGTTTAGTTGCTGTATTTTATGTGAAGTGTAATGTTTGTTTGTACGCTTCTGTTATTTGAATATTCTTAGGTTATTCCTTCTTGTCATCCTAAGCAAACATTGCACTAACTCATGGATCCGTCGAAAAGTATGGCCTTAAGGATTAAAATACTGTCATAAAGGTTTCTTAAGTAAAGCTCATTGACTATGTCTCTTGGAATTATTGACCAAATACTAAAACATTGGACCTTGGGTTTTACCGATTAAAACTCTCATTGAGTTGCCTTATTCAAGTGTTGCCCCAGTCAATGTCGTGATGTTTTAGCATCACTACAAGTTGATCAAGCCAAATTGAGTTTTCTTAGATTACATAGGTTTGTGGTTGGTGTCTGTATGAGATAATTTTCGCACAATCACTAAGATTTTGAAGTTATGTCCCTAATCTTTCAATATCATTTAGTCCACGAGTTGCAAAATCCAAAAGGGGTTAGAGGGACCTCCGGCATTGAGCCAGGGGAAACTCCTCCGATGCCTAAGTCAGTATTGCGGTCAATAACCAAATAGGCAAGTGTATAAAACTAGGAAGATGGTAAGAATGTGTGTGTGGAGTATGGAGCTGAGATGCTCATACTTGAGGCCTCCTTACCTTTAAATTTTCACCCGTATTTAACAAGAAAGAGAAAGAGATAGATATTTACAAACTATTTATTTTTTATTGGTGGAATTAGTCAAAGGTTGACACATTTTTTTGGGAATCCTGGCCCCTTACAGTCCTGCCCTTAATACAGTCACTTTTGTCAGATGATGGGACTCNCTATTTATTTTTTATTGGTGGAATTAGTCAAAGGTTGACACATTTTTTTGGGAATCCTGGCCCCTTACAGTCCTGCCCTTAATACAGTCACTTATGTCAGATGATGGGACTCATCACAAAATGTCCCATCAACTGCACCTTTACTTTAATTTTCTTTGTAATATGTAGAAGGAGATGAAAGCTACGAACAATATCCAATCTTCTTCAGCAAGATACAAAGTGTGAGAGGTACGCTAAAATCCACTATATATCATCCAGCAAGTACGAAATCATGAAATCTATTAGGTCGAGCAACAATGAAGTGTGTCATTGAGAGACTAAATGACAAATATAACAGTAAGATGTTGCTGGAGTGTATCAAGTCTTCAATAGGACAACCATAGCTGAATCGTATACTCAAATCCGAAGAAGATAACGAAGAAGATCACAATTCAACCCAAAGGATGAGTACAACCAAATCATGACAAGGATAATCATAATCAAATTCCGAGAAGATAATAATCGAGATATAAATGAGGCCATCATGAGCCACCTTTTAGAGCATATATGTCTAAAATGAGAAACCAAAAATAGATGCTGCCAATTCTTTAAATAGAGACCTTATAAGCCGAGTCTTCGAACAATAGACAAATAAGCCCGAGGGAGGACCGATTAAACCCGGTTCCTGAAGGACCAAATAAAAAGGCCCCAAACACATCTTTCCCTTAAACTTGAGCAATAATAAAGTCTCTTATCAAGGGGCCCAAGGAGTATTGAAGATATTCATGAGATGCTTGGTGAAGAGATCTGAATTCCAAATAGGATAACATAGCCGAATCATAGCTTGATCAAATGGAGATAACAATATCCGAGCCTCATAAATGGATATTATAATCAAATGTGAATGTCGAGCACGACCGAGCCTTAAAAAGGGCAGTAAAAATTGAATCCCAAGAAGGATAATAAAAGCTGAGTCATCTAAGACAATTATGAGGTTCCCGCCCTTGTAACAGAACCGAATATGTGAATCTCCGTCTTTAAAGAAAGATTGAATAAACCACGTCCTTGAAGAATGACTAAATAACTTTAACCCTGAATACCCCGATTCTTGATAGACTGGATAAGATCAATATCTAAAGGGCCGAATACACCTTGCCCGTAGATGAGGACCGAACATTCGGGGTCCTTGATAGGCCAAATACACCTGGTTCCTTGATAGTGCCCATAAAAAAGGGCCTAAAAATATCTATCCCTTGGCCTCAATAGCCCCGAGTTAATGATCAACTAGGCCTTAAATCTTGTCTTTTCTTATCATGTTCAAGTAGCATTTAATTGAAATAAATAAAAACATTCCTTTTTGAGTTGAGTCCTAAATATCAAACCCGAAGTTAGACAATTCCAGGTTCCCTCAATGAGATTCTTCTTGAGAGGGCCTTTATGTCTGACCTTCGAACATGCATGTTGATGTTGGGTCAATCCTTTTGTACTCTAGAGTCTGGTGTCACCTCTATAAGCAAGGAATACTCACAAGTGCGGGTTCTTGAACCCGTCTCCAAGAAATTTTATACCTCCACTAAGACTCATTGGTTTGGCCATGCAAATGCTTACCTATTTCTAGGGCCCAGAGCCTACCAAGTTCCTAGACATACTTTGGCCATGCAAAGACTTACCCGTGTTTAGTTTCTAATCCCGAGTCTCATGCCACCTCCCTAAACAAGGAGTAATCCCAAATCCAAGTCCTTGAACTCATCCTCGAGAGGTTTTATACTTACAATAGGACATTTGGTGCTTTGGCCGAGCAAGGACTTATTCGAATCTAGGCCCAAGGCCCATCAAGTGCCAAGATATATAGGGCTTTTATCCAATGTGAGGTTATGTCCCCTAATGTAATGCCACTGTTGAGATAATGGTGTGACATCATTCAACATCAATTCTTGGTTTCTCGGTGATGAAAAACTTTGAGAGATCGGGAGATCATTCTTATTAGGATGAGCTCTACCCCCATTATTTTAGTTTCCATCCTCCTCTACTTATACTTGTCTAGGCCAAGCTTTTGGGGTGGAACCCATACGAAATTGGGCAATTACTCAGAGTGATGTGAACCCCTTTCTAGTGCTTTTGGGCAAGCATTCCATGACGTCATTTCCATGTCTAAGGGAGCAAAAATAGAATCAGGAAGTCGTTTGACTTTCCTATTTTTTCGAGCAATCCGATGCTATAACCACAAATTTGGTATTAAAAAGCCTTGATCATTGGTTATCCCAAGAATGGCATCAGTTTGCACTCGGGCGACTAAAAGACCACCTCGTGGCTTTTGATAGTAAAGACAGAAGAAGGTCCTCATTCATACATGAGTTTGGGCACACAATTGCAAGTACCCAAAAATTTTCTTGCCTACATTAGTTTGTGATGGATAATAGAGAAAGAGCCTGAGCTTTGTTACTTGATCGAGGTGAAAGGCTATCACCGTGGCTTTTATTAGAGAGTGAACTGTGTTCTTCAATTCGAGACCCCCTTTTCTGTAGATTTTTTGCTCGGGCCTTTTGACAAGGGAATCAAGCACCCTGTGCATATAATTGGAGGCACCGAACAATACTTGTGGGTCTTGACAATGGCACCGAACAACTTTATGGACTCTCTGAGCACTTCTTTTACTCTGTGGATGTACATTTCCAATGTGGTTAACAACGTTCGCCCATCCTTACGACTAGGAGCTTTGCTTTGTCTGACTTTAGCGCACAACATCTTTTGGGTCTACACAAATTACCCTAGTTACGACCTTGGTGACCACGAGAATCTCAAATGCATTAAGGTGAGGTCATCGGAGTNATAGAATCAGGAAGTCGTTTGACTTTCCTATTTTTTCGAGCAATCCGATGCTATAACCACAAATTTGGTGTTAAAAAGCCTTGATCATTGGTTATCCCAAGAATGGCATCAGTTTGCACTCGGGGGACTAAAAGACCACCTCGTGGCTTTTGATAGTAAAGACAGAAGAAGGTCCTCATTCATACACGAGTTTGGGCACACAATTGCAAGTACCCAAAAATTTTCTTGCCTACATTAGTTTGTGATGGATGATAGAGAAAGAGCCTGAGCTTTGTTACTTGATCGAGGTGAAAGGCTATCACCGTGGCTTTTATTAGAGAGTGAACTGTGTTCTTCAATTCGAGACCCCCTTTTCTGNTCGAGGTGAAAGGCTATCACCGTGGCTTTTATTAGAGAGTGAACTGTGTTCTTCAATTCGAGACCCCCTTTTCTGTAGATTTTTTGCTCGGGCCTTTTGACAAGGGAATCAAGCACCCTGTGCATATAATTGGAGGCACCGAACAATACTTGTGGGTCTTGACAATGGCACCGAACAACTTTATGGACTCTCTGAGCACTTCTTTTACTCTGTGGATGTACATTTCCAATGTGGTTAACAACGTTCGCCCATCCTTACGACTAGGAGCTTTGCTTTGTCTGACTTTAGCGCACAACATCTTTTGGGTCTACACAAATTACCCTAGTTACGACCTTGGTGACCACGAGAATCTCAAATGCATTAAGGTGAGGTCATCGGAGTGAATTGAGGTGCAAGAGCCATCACCAAAAACGTCGTTCTGATATTCAATGAAATGCTCGAGATGTCACGCCCCGATTTTTTTTCTTTTAAAAAAAATACCCAAGCATGATTAAGGAATGAAGACCACACATAATTTACAACAACCTTCCTTATATTATTATATTCAGTGTACGGTTACATAATACTCACATGATCAGTTAACATGTTCTTGATATAACATGAAAAGAAAAACTAATAACAGTCTCTATCCACCGTCCTTTCAATTTATTCTCCTATCTGACTTCATATTTCTGAAAAATGTTAGATAGGAATGGGCTCACCAGCCCAGTAGGATAAAATTTATCAATGACTATTAAGGTTTTAAAACAATACATAATATAATTAAACAACAGGTAAATACAGNTGGGCTCACCAGCCCAGTAGGATAAAATATATCAATGACTATTAAGGTTTTAAAACAATACATAATATAATTAAACAACAGGTAAATACAGGAATAGGACAAAGTAATGAATCAAATAATTAAATAAATTTCAGCACATATCAATCATATCAATCCGTCAATTTTCTGGTTCACGCATGAACCGTCTCTNAGGAATAGGACAAAGTAATGAATCAAATAATTAAATAAATTTCAGCACATATCAATCCGTCAATTTTCTGGTTCATGCATGAACCGTCTCCNTATATCAATGACTATTAAGGTTTTAAAACAATACATAATATAATTAAACAACAGGTAAATACAGGAATAGGACAAAGTAATGAATCAAATAATTAAATAAATTTCAGCACATATCAATCATATCAATCCGTCAATTTTCTGGTTCACGCATGAACCGTCTCTGGAGAAAATTTTGGGATCTTGCAACCTAGGGAACCCAATACCCTTCTTGCTTTTTTGGGAACAACAATACCGGGAATTCTGTAATACCACATAAGCTACCACGACAACCGATATTACTAACTAGTAAATCCAAGGACTGGTAGGAATCATGTGAATCCTCGCAAGGACCATGCGTCTACTAACCCTCTGTCATCGATTATGTGCATCCANATTCTGTAATACCACATAAGCTACCACGACAACCGATATTACTAACTAGTAAATCCATGGACTGGTAGGAATCATGTGAATCCTCGCAAGGACCATGCGTCTACTAACCCTCTGTCATCGATTATGTGCATCCGTAGTAATTTCATTAAAATCATAAAGTAGAGTCATATTGTAGTCAGACTCAACAACAAATAGAAAATCAAACATTAAATAAAAAAAATCATTTTATTTTCAACTTGGTCTAACAAGATAATTAGGATCTCAATAAAAAAATATAATATGTGCATGATCACGATTTATTTATAAAACACAAGTTCAATCCCGTGATTAAAATGATATAATATTACATTATATAGTTCAAAATAGGTTTGATATGAAGCTCCCAAACATGCATAAAATGCATCAATGACAATAAAAGATAAAAGGAATCTTACCTCTGACGCGACCTTTACTTGATACCGTGTAATGTGACAAAACAACTAAAATAATATTTTAGACTAAAAATAAGTAATAAAGGCTTAGTTAAACTAAAATAATTTTTGGAATAACGAACTAAAAATAATGATACTTAAATTTGATCCAAAAATATTTTAACGATTATCAACTTTAAGTGACTCGAACCTATAGNACTAAAAATAAGTAATAAAGGCTTAGTTAAACTAAAATAATTTTTGGAATAACGAACGAAAAATAATGATACTTAAATTTGATCCAAAAATATTTTAACGATTATCAACTTTAAGTGACTCGAACCTATAGAATTACTATATAATAACTAAAAAAATCTTACCCAAAATTTTGATCGTAACAATGAACTCTTTGGTCAACAAAATTTTGACTCATTTTCTTTCTTTCCTCTCTCTTCCTTCCCCCCTCTCTCTTTTTTTTTTCTTTCTTTGTTGCGTTGTTGAGTCGCCTGCACTTGACTATTTATATCCAAAAACCAACCCCAACGTCGCATGGTGACATGATNTCTTTTTTTTTTTTCTTTCTTCGTTGCGTTGTTGAGTCGCCTGCACTTGACTATTTATATCCAAAAACCAACCCCAACGTCGCATGGTGACATGATAGAGTTTGTGTCATTATGGACAGTTATCCATATTTTGTCCATATTTGTTTTTGTTACATGTCTATCTTTTTCTTTTTGTCAAAATTATAGTCATTTGACTCGATTTCGTGTGAAGAATCTATATTTGAGGTTCAAAAAAATTTATNTCCAAAAACCAACCCCAACGTCGCATGGTGACATGATAGAGTTTGTGTCATTATGGACAGTTATCCATATTTTGTCCATATTTGTTTTTGTTACATGTCTATCTTTTTCTTTTTGTCAAAATTATAGTCATTTGACTCGATTTCGTGTGAAGAATCTATATTTAAGGTTCAAAAAAATTTATTATATATATATATATTTAAAAAAATAAATAAACCTCAATTATATAGAATCATAATTGATGATCTAATTAACATGTTAATGATTAATATAAACCTTAATTATATAGAATCATAATTGATAACCTAATTAACATATTAATGATTAATATATGGGTCGTCACAATCTACCCCCTTTAAAAAAAAATTCATCCACAAAATTCGATACTAACCTTGAGAGTTAAAAAGATAAGGATATCTTGTACGCATATCTACTTTCAGTTCCCACGTGGCTCCTTCAATACTATGATGTTGTCATAGCACCTTTATGAGTGATATAATCTTGTTACATAATACTTGTTCCTTTGTATCGAGAATTTGCACAGGTTTCTCTTCGTACGTTCCATTTTCTTGAATCAGGACATCCTTCTAGTTGATAATGTGAGATGCATTTGGCTTACATTTCCTTAACATGGATACATGAAACACATCATGTATTCCTGATAACTGAGCTAGCAAGGCAAGCTGATAAGCTATATTTTCAATGCATTGTATTACCTCAAAGGATCCAATGTATCTGGGAGCCAACTTACCATTTTTTTGAAATCTAAATATTTCTTTCCTAGGGGATACCTTCAAGAATACATAATCACCCACTTGAAACTCCAAGGGTCTCCTCCTTTGATATATATAGCTCTTTTGTCGACTTTGAGATATGCATAGTCGATCCCGAATTACTTGGATCTTTTCAGTGGTTTCTCGAATAATTTCTGGACCAAATAAAATGCTCTCATTAGCTTCGGCCCAACATAGAGGTGATCTACAGGGTCGTTCGTACAAACCCTTATACAAAGTCATACCAATACTACTTTGACAACTGTTGTTGTAAATNTCTCATTAGCTTCGGCCCAACATAGAGGTGATCTACAGGGTCGTTCGTACAAACCCTCATACAAAGTCATACCAATACTACTTTGACAACTGTTGTTGTAAATAAATTTCACCATTAGAAAATGTTCATTCCAATTGCCCTTGAAATCTAGAGCGCAAGATCGTAACATATCTTCCAATATCTAATTCACCCTTTCAGATTGACCATCTATTTGCGGATGGTAGGCAGTACTGAAATGCAATTCAGTTCCCATGATTTTTTGTAAACTCTACCAAAATTAGGCCACAAAGCGAGTATTTTGATCTGACANTATCTTCCAATATCTAATTCACCCTTTCAGATTGACCATCTATTTGCGGATGGTAGGCAGTACTGAAATGCAATTCAGTTCCCGTGACTTTTTGTAAACTCTACCAAAATTAGGCCACAAAGCGAGTATTTTGATTTGACACGAGTGATAACGATACCCCATGTAATCTTACAATCTTCTGTATATAAAGTTGACTTAACGTAGCTAAAGTATCAGTATTCTTCATGGCTAAGAAATGGGCCAATTTAATCAGTCGATTTATTATAACCCATACTGCATTGTATCCCTTGATAGTTCTAGACAATCCAATCACAAAATCTATAGTGATATGATCGCATTTCCACTCTAAAATAGGTGAGGATTGTAACAACCCACCAAGTTTCTGATGCTCTACTTTTACTTGCTGACATATGGCACATCGAGCTATAAATTTAGCCACATCATTCTTCATTCCTTTCCACCAGCATTGGTGTTTCATATCTTGATACATTTTTGTGCTGGCAGGAAGTATGGAAAACTTAGAGCAATGACATTCCCAGAGTATCTCTTATTTCACCTGAGCATTATCGGGTACACACAGCCTTCCTTGATATAGTAATTCCCCCTTTTTTCAACCACCAATTCTCAAGAGTGTTTCCATCTATCAATGGGGTGCAGATGGATTCTAGGTAGGGATCCGAACGTTGTAATTCAACAACTTTTTGTCGGAGGATAGGTTGAGCAACGAGATTAAACAAACGTGGTTGAACTTCTTCTTCACCCATCTAGATGTCATAGTCCTCTAGTGCCTCCCTCAATCACCATTTGTCATTCATCATGTTAATCACTACACTTCAGAATTTTCTACTCAATGCATCAGCTACCACGTTAGCTTTTTTTAGATGGTATTAGAATGTGAAGTCATAATCCTCGAGATACTCTATCTAGCATTGTTTTCAAAGATTCAAGTCTTTTTGAGTGAATATATACTAGAGACTTTTGTGATCTAAGTAAATCTGAAATTTTTTCCTGTATAGATAACAACACCATAATTTTAGAGCAAAGATAACAGCTTCTAGTTCCAAATCGTGGATGAAATAGTTTCATTTGTGAAATTTTAATTGTGTTGATCCATAAGCAACCACCTTGTTGTGTTGCATTAATACACACCCAAGTCCTTGTAATTATGCATCTGTATAAACATCATACCCGATACCACTTTTAGGTATAGTAAGAATAGGTGTTGTGGTCAACTTCTCCTTTATGATGTTAAATGTCTGTTCACATTCTTTGGTCCACTCAAATTTTTCTCCTTTTCAGGTGAGTCTGGTCATAGGCATAGTTATTCTGGAAAATCCTGCTACAAATCTTCGATAGTAT